CAGCCTGGCACTTCTACTCATCATATGAGAACTGTCTTTTTTTTGTTTTTGTTTTTTGTTTTAAATTCACAGAAGCGTGTCATTGCTTTCACGATGCAGGTCATCCATTTCAAAACCAGCCTGACTCAACAGTCACGCAAATACACTAGTCTCATTTCAGTGAGGTGAATTAACGCCACAAAAAGTACACACTGGAGTGTGTGTCTTTGCATTCAAAGCGGTACATTGAAGTGTGTCCAGTACAGGGGCGGAGTGGCCATCGGGGATTTCGGGAAAATTTTCCTCAATGGCTAGTGTATTTCTGGGCCGGTCGTGGGCATCAAGCCCAGCCAACATTTTAAGATGACAATTTCAACGCTGGGTTTCTGAAATAGACCATGATTTACGCACATTAAATATGGAAAATAGAAAAACGGAACTGTCACCCAGTACTTTGATAGTCAGCCTTTTTGCTATCCATCTTACCTTCCCTGGCTCCATGCCGTTTTGTTATGAATATGTCTCACAAGGAGCCAGTGGAACTCCTACTGCTGTGTGATTTTTTTCTTCAAGTCACAATGCACACTTCTGTTGTCTTCCTGTTACTGTTCATTTTTTTTTTTTATTGACCAAACATATTTAGTAATGCTGTCTTCACTTCCTCGAAAATTAACCAATATTCTGAAATCCTGGAGATACAGATAAACTGATTTAAACTCAGTGTCACCTCCGACTGATTTGATGCCCTTAGCTGGTTCTGGAGTGGTGGTGAAAGAGGGGAATTATGTTTTGTAATCAGATTTATTTTTTACTGCCCTTGCACAAACATAAAATTAAATTTTTCTTCAGAGAAAATGCCTTTTTTTAAAATATGGAACATATCCTTGATATCATTTTAATGGTATTTTCACTGCGGCTTGGAGCAGCTTTCAGTACTGACCTGTGTTTCTCGGGAATTAATATCGTTCCTGTTTTTAGGTTACAGAAACCTTTGTTACAATCTGTAGGTTATCGCGACATCACCTTGTCCCATTTGTCCCAAACGTCTGCAGCGGATGTATTTTTCAATTACAGCTTGAACATATACCATCTTAACCTCGTAGAACCATCCCCGGCGCCTCCCAAAATTCACCTGAGAGCACTCAAAATCTACTCAAATTGATAGACTGCATGCCCCGTTGAAGATGAGTAAAACATCCAGCTTTTACTTTCTTTTTCATTTGCAAGTTGTGAAAGGTTATTTTCAAAACCAAGATGAATAAAAGGTCATGTCACTGATGGTGTGTGGTTGCCTGACTTACACGTAAGTGCAGGCAGCGTGGTTTCAGTTACCATTTGCCGGTGTGAATACAAGTGTGAATTTGTCTTCGTGTATATGTGCTCCGTCATTGACTGACGACCAGCCCAGGGTGTTTTCTTGTTTTACACCAAAGACAGCTGGGAAAGGCCCCAGCAATGGTGACCCCGAACAAGAAAATGAATAGGTCTTACCTAGCTTGAATGCGAAATTACTATTCAGGCTTACCATATTGGTCTCAAAATGGTCGCAAATTATTTTCCCCCCTCCGCGAAAAGGCTATGGCCTTAAATCCAAAATTCCTTATCTCAGTTCAATATAGTCGCTTGGCACCAGATTGCTAACAGATGGCACCAAAGAAGTTGATCAACAGGCATCCACACCTTGACATGTCACTTCGAGGCTCCAGCCCACCATTGACCCTGAAAATGATACAAGAAAGAAAATGGGTGGATGGATGGATGAATGGATGAATGAGGTTCCATCTACCACAGAAACAGATTAGTATCATGGAAATTGCAAATGTATACACGGTAATAATGCTGAAGGTAAGACCAATTTATTCAATGCAGAAACTAAAGCAATGCTTCAACTATAAATGATTATACAGTACCCAGTTTATTGTTTTTTAAAATTATTACTTGTGTACATCGTATTGAACCTACCGGTAGTCTGTATTTATCGTAATTTCAATTGCTAGAAATGTATGCCTTTATCAACAAGTACAATTAAACAACATTTCACACTCAATATAACATTATCATAAATGTGAAAAAGATTTCATTTACAAAACTGTTTTTAAAAAAACGATGAAAATCACTGCATTGCTTTGCAAGAAATATTGTTGTTGCGCAATAGTGCGAGGAAAAATGCTACGTTGTAGTTATTTTGGGACAAGGGAGATTCTGGCATGAACATGGGTTCCAGATTCAATCTGAAAGTGTGATGTATCTTTTTTGGCCAATCTTTACAGACATTAGGCCCCCATGGCACATGTTTGTAACACCTACGAAGACAATATAGTCGCATAGAAACACCATTAGTAGTTCAGTACAAGGCTTGCCCTAGTGAAGGTAGACAATAAAATATCAGAACTAAATAAAGTAAAACAAAGATGGTTTCCAAACATGAGGACTCAAGAAAGCTAGCTCTACAAACTCGGTTCGCTATGGGAAAACTCCAATGTATACGTAACGTAACTTGCTAAATAATCTACCAGAAAGAATAAGCAAGAGACTTCAGTTCATTCTGAAACGTGGGCTACTTGCAAGGCCTTTAGTCCAGTCATTATTTCATTTCTATTTTTCATGACTTTTTATACACTTTTCATGTGAAAATATGTTGACAAATTTCAGGTATTTCTAACCAAATGCAAATTCTTAGTGATGTCCCTCTGTCAGATGCCATTGGCCTTATTTAGCGACTCGCTGCTCCTTTGTTTCACCCCCATGTCCGCCATTATCGCTTGCTCAACAGCATCTGTCAAGGACAGCTTGTCCTCTGCTTCATTTTCTCTGTGATAGAAGTAGTTGAAATTGGAAACAATGACAGGAACAGGTAGCGCAATGGTCAGTACACCTGCAATGGCGCACAAGGTCCCGACCATTTTGCCCCCGAGGGTGATGGGACACATGTCCCCGTAGCCTACAGTAGTCATGGTCACCACCGCCCACCAGAAGCCATCCGGTATGCTGACAAACTGTGTGTTCGGCTCATCGACCTCAGCAAAGTAGATCGCGCTGGAGAAAAGGATAACTCCAATAAACAGGAAGAAGATGAGTAGGCCCAGTTCTCGCATACTGGCCTTGAGGGTCTGTCCCAGGATTTGCAGCCCCTTGGAGTGACGTGACAGTTTAAATATACGAAACACCCTGACCAGACGTATAATGCGAAGGATGGCCAAAGACATATTCTGCCCGGAGCTCTCTTCAGGCTTTGTGACCAGTTCGGTCACCACAGTGACAAAATAGGGGATGATGGATATAATGTCGATGATGTTCATAAGATTGTGGAAAAATTCTCTTTTGCTCGGGCAGACCAAAAATCTGATACAAAGCTCAAAGAAGAACCAGGCAATGCAGGCGGTTTCAATCATGAAGAAGGGATCAGAGAAAACTGTGGGCATTACACCAGGCGGAGCCACAGTGCTATAAACTCCAGAGAGGTTGACAGGCTTCGTGGCCGTGGGCGCAACAATGTCAGTCTCATCTCTGAATTCCGGCAGCGTTTCCATGCAGAAAATAATGATGGAAATGACAATAACAAGCACGGACACGAGTGCAACACATCGAGCCGCATTGGAGCTCTCTGGGTACTCCAGCAGCAGCCAGAATTGTCTGGAGACATCATTATTAGGCAGCGGTATCTCAACATCCCGAAGGAATCCTTCTTCATCTCGAAACTGCTCCATGGCTTCATTTCCAAGCCCGTAAAAGATTATTTCATCAGCAAACACATCCAGAGGAACGTTTGCTGGACGTCTGACCTTGCCCCCAGACTGGTAGTAATACAAAATCCCGTCAAAGCTGGGCCGGTTACGATCAAAGAAGTATTCGTTCCTCATTGGATCAAAGTAGCCCATCCTCTTCTGAGGGTCTCCTAGCAGTGTATCTGGGAACTGGTCTAATGTTTTGAGCTGAGTCTCGAAGTGAAGCCCGGCGATGTTAAGAATGACTTTTTGGTCTCCATCGTCCAGCCCTCTTTTATCGACAAAAAGGTCCTCGCAACACTCCTGAGCAAGTTGGCTAAAGATTGCTTCACTTTCCTTCATGCCTTCGCTGCTTAGAAGCACCTTCCAGTTTGAGGTCATACTGGAACGACTACTTCGGCCCTCCATACTTGGAGTTAGCATTGGGGTGTGAGGTACTTCCACCGTGTGTATAAATGGAATCGGTATTGAAGATGAGGATTCCCACGTGCACGAGGGAACGGGACTGGTGCGGCATGGTGTGCAGGTGGCAAACTGTGGGGCTCGTAGTCGGTAGTTGCCACCTGGCATGTCGGGTATGTCCACAGTAAGAGCTGTGGTCTCATCCGCATAAGCGTCCTCATCCTTGAGGCCCACGTCAAGCTCATCTGAGCTCCCAAAGTCTACCAGGGCCATGTCCATGGTGGCTCCAGTTCAGCCAAAACAGACCAAGAGGACCCAGGTTAAAATAACCCTACACAGCTAAATGAGTGGCTCAGTCAGTAGATAGCAACTGATAGGCAGTCAGACAAGTCATCTTTTTTTCTCTTCCACACCTGCGGAATGTGAGAGACAAAAAAAAAAAAAATCGTCAGTTTGACATAGAAATGGTAACATAAGTATTTTGTTGCAGCTCCGAAGCAAACAGAGCTGTCGTGTTGGTTTTTAGAATATGCACTTTCTTAATTCGTTTCACACTGAAGCGAATACAGACACGTTGATGTTGGACTACGCGGCTTCTCAACCGCCTCAGAAAAAACGTAAATTAACGATTACTTCAAAGACACTCAGAAAAGCAGAAATAATGCAACAAACAGAAAATCAAGTGAATACCGGAAACAGTCTCCTACAATTTGAAACCCTCAAGGAGGCAAAATATGTTGGAGACAAAAGATACACATGCAAAGAGAGGAGGAAAAAACACAAGACTTCAATTTTCTTTATTCATGCTGTTTTTGAGGCGGAACTGTGATGAGTCATTTTAACAGTGAACAAACATCATGCACTCAGATCTTTGTCTTTTGTTGAGCTAAAATGAAGTCTTTTAAATTATTGGAGAAATGGAGCATCAGGAGGAAATAGTCAAGAGGCAACCGACGTATCTTAGCCAGATTGTCAAATGAATCTGTGCATATATTAACGCTTTATGGTAAGGGTCATGCTTCCTTCTTACAACAGGAGAATCATTCAAACTGCATCATGACCCCTAAATCCATACATTTTAGGAGTATAAAAGTGGTGCTGTGACAGTGTGTGTGTGTATGGTTTTGTAGCTTTGATTGACAGATTGATTGTCATCAAATCAAAAAAATAAATAAACAAACATATAGGCCCATACACATACCACAGTGCCCTATTTTCATAGTGAGGCCTCCATGAACGGGTGCATCTTCATTTTCATGCCAGGGGCAAGTCGAGTTTATCATATTTGGGAATTTGGCAGACCGCCTTGCGCCTTGCTGGGTGTTCCGGCGGATGGATCTGGTGCACCACCAGTGCCCCTGACAATTTGGTGACACAAAGTAGCGCTCGTTGTAAAAATGGGTGCATCTTCATTTTCGTCTCGTCACAAGTCTAGTTTAGCGTGCGTATGATTTTGGTAGACCTTGCTATACCTCGATAGGCGTTCTGGCGTATTTTAATTGTATACCCGGGTGCACCCGGCAACTTAGTGACCAAAAGTAGACAAGGTTTTTGACTATCCAAAAGCATGTCTAAGTTGTCACGCAGTGGTGTAACATGAATTTGGTGGATTTGATCAAGGTACAGGCAGACGGATTCTAAGCGCTACAATTTGTGGTGAATGTCATAGTATTCATTAAGAAATATGACAACAGTGTGGGACCACAGTGGCCCGGTGGTCCAGTGGTCCAGTGGTCAGCGCGTCGACCTCACAGTGTAGAGGTACCGGGTTCAATTCCAGCTCTGGCCTCCCTGTGTGGATTTTCTCTGGGTACTCTGGTTTCCTCCCACATTCCAAAAACATGCATGGCAGGTTGATTGGGCACTCCAAATTGTCCCTTGGTGTGATTGTGAGCGCGAATGGTTGTTTGTCTATGTGTGCCCTGCGATTGGCTGGCAATCAGTTCAGGATGTACCCCGCCTATTGCCCGAAGACAGCTGGGATGGGCTCCAGCACGCTTCGCAACCCTTGTGAGGCGTGCTGGAGTTCGGATAACGGATGGATGGAGGGGTGGGACAATACCTCTGAATTATTGAAGAAGTCAACAAATTGAACAAATGAGTATCAGTATCATCTTAAAATATTTTAATAGCACCTTCGACCAGGGCACACAATCATGGATGGAGTGGGGTCACCCACTAAGGGGTGGAAGCCGGTCTCCAGGTATCAATTCACAGTGGCTAACTTTTCATCATCCTCAAGTGGAGACCTTTTAAATGTTTCTATGCATTTTATGTTCACCCGATCTCCTGCATCAACATGCCATATAGACCGTGTTTGTTTTGGAGCACTCAGTAATTCAATGATGTGAGTCGTCAACATTTTGCATCTGCCCACAAACATACCACTTATGAAATCGGGTCTGTCCTGCAACCATTCATTTTCAAACCTTTCTGTTCTTTGGGGCTACAGTGACCTTTTGCAGAAGGCAATGGCACAAACGCCAAACTGCAACGTGTGAACACTCTCTGAATTATAGTGCATGGAATCACCCTAATTGTTAGCGCAAACCAGCTCAATTTCCAGCAAGGCCGAGGTGATGGGAATTAAGAGCCACCATAAAATGTATTCACATTCTGATCAATTTTTTTTTGCCAATTTGATTTATGATTCATAATTCAGAAAGTAACACCGAACCTATTAATACATGGATCATGACAAGGGGAGATGAAATTATACATCCTCACGCCCCGTGTCTTCCATCCTTTATTTTCAACTTTTTTCATGATTCATTCATTACATCCCTATATTTTAGTCAACTTCAAGATCTATGCAGTCTTGTGATAGATGAGGCTGACTCTCCATCGCTCTGTCCTGTACTGTCCGAACAGTCTTCCATCATTAGAAAGCAGGGCTCTTCTTGGCAACGGAAGAGCTTATGAATGATCAAATGTCAGATTCCAGGATGCACAAATCCCAGTGGCCTACCACGTTGTCCACACGCTGTAAAACACATTGGCACGTAAGCAAGGCGACTGTGCTTTGTAACAAGAGCATGCCTGAACAACCTCCGCAAGCTCCTTGTCAACAGTGTTTAATCACTGAGTATTTATCTGTTTCCCACCATCATGATCCAATCGTTCTTCTGCTTGATATTTATTTTTGTAATTTGCATTACAGGACAAAAAAAATGTCACTGATCAATGACTCAAATGATAATTCCGTAAAATTCATGTATGGGTTGCCAAGGTTTGTGAATCACAAGAATGGAAAATTAAAAACACTGACACAATTGACAAAATAATAGTTACATTTTTCACCAAACAATAGTACATTGAAGCTGGAAGTCCAATTTCATTCCAAAGAAACAGCATGACCTTGAACTTGTGGCAGGACTGCTTAAAGCAGAGGTGTCACATGGGGCCCATGTGAACGCCTGGCGCTCTGTCTATTCTTGCCATTCTAATAATACACAACATTGAGGGAGAAAGCCACAAGATAATAGCATGCGCCATATGTGACGCTAATGTTCATAAAAAATGAGGAGTGCAACTAAAGTGAAACACTGGGTGTAGCATCAAAAATATGGTATGGCGTGCTGCTCTGAGAAACACATTTTAACCCCTGCGACTTCACCAGATGTGTGTAAAACATGAACAGATGTTCAGCCAGATCTAGTTTAATGTCAAACCAACTCTTCTATCGCAGCGCAGTTAATACGGACAAATATTTCAACTTGTGACCCATCGCTGTAGTTCTTACAGTTAGTCGAGTGGAATAAGGGAAAGGAATAAACAAATGTAGGTACAGCAAATAACAGATGGCCCGCAAAGGAGACCCTGACACAAATTTTCTCAATATGCCAAATATGTATGCTCTTGGTCGAGATTTTACCCGTTAATTTAATTGTAAAAAATAAATTCCTCAAGAAGCTCATTTTGTGGTTGCATTTTACAGGAATATGAACATAGTAAATATTGGTCTTTAACACATGTACATTGTCTTCAGTGCATGATGAGGTAACATTATCAATAATAATGTCAAAAGAACCTCTGTTGTGTGCTTGACCTTGTGCATTGTCCACTCTGTTATGATTTGGTGGCAGCGTGTCTTTGGTTGTGGGAGGGCATTCATTGGTAGAGGTGATATTTTTGGACAAGATTTTTGGGATTAATGCAGGCTGGGCAGCACAGTGCCATAAGCCGAGGGATCACTTGTGTCAGATCAACCCAGATGCCAGCTAGCCATCATAGATAGGCAGACAAATACAAAAAGTAGCCCCCCTACACACATACACAAAAACAGGCACACACCCATGCTAAAAACATGATTCATATTTTGAGGCATGTGCAGTGTATTTGCAAAATAAACAGGTGTAAAGGTTTTTCACAGTGTGGGTTCACCAGGACAGGCGCCATTTGTTGGTTGGTCTAAATGTGGTTCTTTTGAGCAAACAATACATATTGGAAGCAGTCATATGCAGAGGTGCCTTGTGGTACGAATTTAATTCCATGACAATGTTTGTATCTACAAAGACTGGAATGTATCTCTAGTCATCTTTCCTCATAGAAATGATCGGAAATGACAATCGATTCAAGCCTCCTCAAAAAAGAACAAAACATTTCGAATTGTGTTTTAATAAGAAAAATACCATTGTATTGTACTTTATAAAAACACGTATTTAAAAAAAATGTTGCATATGTTGCTTTTATGCAATGGACATTGTGATACTCCTTCTGTGCACTAATCCACAAAGGTCGCGGTGCGTGCTGGAGCCTATCCCAGCCGTCTTCGGGCAGTCGGCAGGGTACACCTTGAAATGATTGCCAGCCAATTGCAGGTTACACATAGACGAACAACCCTCTGCGCTCACACTCACACCTAGGGACAATTTAGAGTGCTCCATTATCGAATCGAAGACATGCATATATATATATCACCCTCGGTCAGCTGGAACGCCCAGCGAGGTGCGACACACTCTGCCAAATTCCCAAACATGGTAAACTAGAGTTGTCCTGACACCAAAATAAAGAGGCGGCAGTTTTTAATCCATGTACTGTATGTTAGGAATAGCTTCTTCGGTCAATCAGCACTTTTGTTTTTGAGACAATGACATGTAGAAGAATCTCCGGCAAGTCGAATCTCCTAAGCAGCTCTTAACCTTCATAGCACCTTTCCTTAACCTTTGCGGTATACAGTAAGTCAGGGAGAGATGAAAAGGAGTTACTTTTTAAATTTCAGAAAGGACAGCGCACACAGTGAAGCCCCTTGTCAGTACATCTTGATTTTTTTTTTCTACATCTAACATCATGCCCACATTGAACTCCCAAGGCATAATTGACACCTAGGGTCGTTCACATTTACAGCCATATCCACAATTAAAAGAGAATATAACCATAACTTACATTTGTGAAATAAATCTGCTGGCTGCCACCGATTAAACACTGCAATTTTGTGTTTTTCCCCACTGCACATGAGTGGAACACATGTGTTGTCCCCACTAGGCATTTATAAGATGCAAGCTGACAGGGGTGTGTCAGCAGGCTCCAGGCCAAGTTCCTGTGCACAGCAGCTGGGTCCAAAATCCGTCTTTGGCCTTTTCACACATGCGCGCCCACACACACACACACACACACACACACACACACACACACACACACACACACGCACACGCACACGCACACACAAAACAACAGTCTGAGCAAAATGAAATCCCTTCCTAATGAATGAAAAACCTCCTGTAAAAACATTTGAAAAAACAGCAACTGTTTTTGATAAGATCATCCTCTGATTACTCCTTTGCCAATCATTTCTGTATAACAGTTGAAATAAAGGGGTCACTGATGGTGTAACGACAAACTGGCCCGGCTTCTGTGCAGGCAGCATTGTTTTCATTACCCCACGTGAATATGAATGTAAATGATTGCCTGTCTCAATATGTTCCCTATGATTGACGGCGTAGTTTTCCTTTTGCCTGAATTCAACTGAAAATAAGCCCAGGCTCCCGATAACCCTGCACAGAATAAGCAATATAGAAAAGGGATGGATGGATAAAACACTACGTTACATTCGTAAGTGGAGCAAGCGGATGGTATTAGAATAATAGTGTATCATGATGTCATTCTATGTAGTGTAAACCCGAGGGCGTGACCTTTGTTGTTATATCACTTGCTTTTTGTACAGATTTTACAGCACAAACCGATGATAATTGTGATCATTTGTCCTGACATAGAAAGAGAACATTTGCTCACAAGACGAAAGGAGAAATTTGTCATTCTGGACAAAACTACAAAATACACAGCGACTTCCGCAAACTACCCCACCCCCACCTCCTCCAAAGGAGATTAAGCCTGTCTCATTTACAGAAATGTTACATTATTTTGCAGAAGTCCACTTTTTATGCCAGACAGGGAAAATATAGCCATCTGGACTGACTATTACACTAATCCCAGGTGACCCACAATCATATAAAGTAGCCAACCATACACAAACACCCACACACGCGCGTGCACGTACACACAAAGATGTGAACATAGAACTGAATACAACATCCTTTTACTCTTCATGCATGCGCTTTTTCAGCTACTGCTTTCTAACTTTTAGTGCAACAAATCAAGTTGTATAACAGTACTTACAACACAACGGGCTTTTACTTAGTTTTTTGTCACGCTGTCATTTTCACTTGTACAATTGGGATACACTCTCAGAAGAAAATTCAATCAACCTGAAGGGCGCAGTAACTCATGACCGGTAATTTAAAAGTTAGATTTGTTTTTTGTTTTCTGTTCATACTAGATTTTTGTTTGTTTTTTTGAATTGGAAATTGTATCCGTATCCTTTTGGCGGTGGTAAAGATCCAAACAGTCAAACTGGATTTCCTTGATTAGTCCTGTGTTTATGTTACTAAAAACTGTAGCTTATGGAAAAGTAAGAGTACAGAAATAGGAGTATCGTAAGAGTTAGGGATGGGCAAATGGGGGCCATATTCTAAGAGGCCTCTTGATTACTAGCATTTCACCCTTCACCCAAAAAGTATAATAAATATATATATATATATATATATATATAAAACTGTGTGTGTGTGTGTGTGTGTGTGTGTGTGTGTGTGTGTGTGTGTGTGTGTGTGTGTGTGGACAAAATCTGAAAAAATATTGAAAAAAATCCATGAATTGCAATTACAGCGGGTGGTATACTGCCCTATATTGCAACGTGAGCAGGGCTAATCTTTTTTTTCTGCTTTGTATTGATTTGTTAGGCAAGCGTAGTACTAAAATGTACATTTTGAGTGACTTTATATTTGTGAAAAAAAATTGTACAAAATGAGTTCAAGTCCTTAAAATTGGTTTCTTGTTCAACTTATTTTTTATGCAAAGGAGCCCTTTGCACTGGGAAAAAATACTGTATGTGCTTATTTAATTGTTGGGTTAGGATAGTGAATCTTCTATACATGCATTGAAAAGTGTATTATCAAAAATGAGATGCATATATTCAGAGCATGTATTTTACACGTATACATTTTGCCCATATTTAACATAGCCCTTACATCATACATCATTGTCATACATTTAGTTGCCCATCCCTGATCGAGACTATTGTACATTTTTATTTTGTACATCGACTCAATTTTTGGGCTCCAATGTAACTGTTTGTACCTATTCCAGGGACAGGAAAGATAAGTTTATGTTCCCAAGATGTACAAGAGGACAAAACGTAATTATCCAGTGAGATTCCATTGGCCCCCCCTAGGTGCAATGATAAATGGTTTGCGAATTACTGCATAAAATACACAAAAAGAACTGAGTAAAGGCCTAGACGGTGACACTTCAAGCGTAATCTGCAAAGCAGTTTGAGGTTCATTATGCCACTGGAAAAGGAGCTATATCGGGTCAGCTAAATTGCTGTTCAAATTGAACCCAGAGGAAATAATAATGGGAAAAACACATCATAACAACAGTCCAATGTTAGTGATAGTACATATGACTATATAATTATTAAAATACTATTCGTTAGTTCTAATTTTAAACTTGCTAATAAATGACGTATGAAGTGTCAAAAAATGAGAATAAAGTCAGATGCTATTTTTTAATAATAATAATAAGAATGCATTATATTTAAAAGCGCCTTTCATGCCACCCAAGGACAATTAAAATACATTTTGGTTGTGCATCATTTTGTGGTTAGTTAATTGGTTGTCTAAAATTATGAAGTCACCCACAGCCCCCCCCCCCCCGCCCTCCGCCCCACCGTCCCCCAGTTGCTGTTAAGAGTATTTATTACACATGGCACCCAGTCACACACAATTTGTTAACAGTTGTTCCACACATTGTGTGTAAGAATGGGAAAGTCACAGAAGTACCTTACCTCAATTTCCACAGAGACCTTTACAACTCCTCGACCCTGCTAGCGTTGGTCCAGCTCTCCTGGCTCTCCGGGCCGAACCGGACGTATGTTGAGTGCACACTGGACCCAGCCCGCACATCCACAGCTTGCATTGTTGCACCAGCGGCACAACTGCACCCCCCGCGGACAGGTGGAGGTCACACCAGGGCCAGATGTCATAGTGATATAACGATAACATACTGACGTTTTTATTTGGCCAATTCCCCGCGTGTCTTCGCCCTCATAAAAAAACAACAACTGTGCAGCAGGTCGAGAGAGAGAGAGAGAGAGAGAGAGAGAGAGAGAGAGAGAGAGAGACACGAGGGAGATTAAAAAAAAGGTTGTTTCCTAACATCTGTCATAAGCTGCCTCATGCTCTCTTGGCTGCACTCCACCATAATGACTCACTTGATCTCATCTTTGACTAAGATAAAAAAAATCATTTGTGTTAGCCAGACATGACTTGGGAGGGAAAATTAAATGGTGCCCCCAAAATAGCTATAACATGCGCACAAAGTACTCATTTGTGAATTTCATATCATTTCAAAGAACAGGTTGAAAAACAACAGATCGAGGGCACACTAGACCACACCAGTATCCAACTTGACTACTTTCATTAAGATCTGATGTTGTATTTCAAAATAAAAGGCCTCTGAAATCTGCAATTTGACCTTCACACCTGCATTAAAAATGGTTGGTATCCTGCGTGTTTTAGATGTTTCCCTTCTCCAACCCACCTGTTTCAAATCTTTGGCTCATCAGCAAGCTCTTCGGGAGTCATGATAACGATCGTGATCATTTAAAGAAGGTGTTTTGTAGGGAAACATGCGAATAACGTAAAGGGAGATGCTGCTCTCTGCTGGCCTTTGTTGGGACCTAACCCAGATCGTCATCATTTTGATCACTCTCTCACGGTTCGAGTGCAACCCGGGCATGTCCTAACCTTTTTCCGTGATCTTTGCATGTTTAAGAAAGTCCCATATACAATAAAAACAATTTGCAATTAGTGGTGGTAGTACAGTAGTAGTGCTTTGGGTGATGGGTACTCACTTTTTCAATGCCAAATTCCCCATGCTGACCACAGCAATGTATTTGCAAATTTACTGTAAATCCTCCTAGCTATAAATGAGACTGGTCAACAGTAAATTTTAATCAATGTGTGCCTCAGCATATTTTTGAAAAAAACCCTAAAACAAAACAAAAAAAAAAACCCAAAAAGACGACCATTTTTCCTAACACATCATGTTTTTGAGATATTTTAATTTCTTATTTTGCAGTTTGACCCATAAAAGATTGCATTATCCAGATTTTATCAATGCATTGTAATTTATAGCTGTGATGATTCAGAAGAAAAAAAAATCCACCTGTTGCTGAACTGAACCCTTCATGTAAAATATTACTATAGGTGTATGATAATATATATTATTGTTATTAAAATCTCATGTGGTATCATACCTGTCAACTTTTCGGAGCGCCAACCTGTATAAACTACCAAAAAAATCCTTATAAAGAGCAAAAAATCCTTATAACATACCAAAGCATTTTATATGTCAAAATAACGGCAGAAAAAAACCCACGAAATATGAATGATATATTTGTTTCCTTGTAGAACTTGCTTGTACACTACCGAAGTATGCAATGAATACTCTGCTGTTTTCAGCCAGGAACCACGTGATTTACTGGAAAGTTACCGGAAATGAAAGCATTCGAGTAGACTAGCACCATTCTGGGCAAAAGCAAACGGAACTACCTGTTAGGGGGAAAAAAAACAAAAAAATAAAAGGAAATTTTCAGAATCCGTGTGATTTGTGCGATATGGCCATATACGTAAGATTCACCACAGAATCCGTATGAACTATGGCTAAACCGTATGAGTTGACAGGTATGTGGTATTGAGAAAAACTATTAATAGTAGATTCAGAATCAACACGAAAAAAAAATCCTCAAGAAAAATTAACTCGGGTCTTCTGATTTTAAAAAATCTAGTGAGTGATTTGGTGCTTCACAATGTTAGTTAAAACAGAATGACAGTCAGTTTGGTGAAATGAAGCCATGCAAATTGAATGGTCCTCCTTAGGTCTTGTCAGGATCAGTCGAGACCGACTCGTCCGAAGCAACAATCTCAGTTCGCCCATCGCCACCTCTCTGAGCAGAAGTAGAAGAAGGAATGGGGAGGATAGAGGAGTAGCGTCAGTAAAACAGGCCAAAATTGGAAAGGTCTGAAGCAAGGTCAGAGATAAATTTTGTACTAGCTGAGCTTTTACCAAATATGAGACTTAAGACTTAAACATTTACCACATTTAGCTGCTATAATTTCCACACATATAGTGCATTCCAGAGTGCTGTAGTCTGAAGAGAGACTGTTCCACTCATGGATTAGATTATTACTATTTTTATTATTATCATTATTCCGATTATTGTGCGGGAATGCTCTTTGTGATGTAGAGTGAGCGAATGGAATAGAAGTCAATGAGCATTTGAGATACAATTATAGAAGATTAATTGTTGACTGCTAATGCTATGCAATCACCGCTCCATTATGTGATGCATGCCTGATCAATACTCTAAAAGGAACGAGGAAAGGCCTATGTGCGCACAATGTCAATACATAAAATGCACCTGCTGACAGGATAAAGGAGTTTAAAAAGAATGAAAGAGCACTTGCGATCTGAGAGGGATCATGCAACGTGGCTTTAAAGCTCATGAATTATTCATGTGCCTCAGATATTTAAAGCTCTCGACAGTATATCATGCTTGCGAGCCGTGTGTGTGTGTGTGTGTGTGTGTGTGTGTGTGTGTGTGTGTGTGTGTGTGTGTGTGTGGGAGGTGGCTAAATCGGTTGGAAGAGAAAAAGTCTGTCTGTTACTGCCTGAATACATGGGAACACACTCATCCATGCAGTTGAACATGTGTGCTCAAATTGACTAACACGTTTATACTATATTTAATTTATATTTCATTTATTTTGTATGATCTGCCACCGAAGAGTCGAAAGGGGGCTGCTAAATTTGTAAAGTGTAGTGTCACACATTGGTAGAATAGAATTTCGTGTCAAATTGGTTGTACATACAAACATAAATAAGTAAGTATGTAAACATAATAAGCCTTGTCATTTGGAACACAATGACACCCAGAGCACTTACCAGAAATAACAAGAAATGTCTATACCCCCTTGTGGCCGCCAGGGGTCAGGAAAGATGAACTGCAAAAGGAAAAATAATTTATACGTGATTTATTCCCTTGTTGATGTCATGATCCATGGAATGAAATGCACATTGACAAAATTCCCGGCCCGGAACACCTTGAGGACAGCCCCATACCGAAATTTACTTTTACTTTTAGAGACTAACCGTAGATGAGCTCTTTTTTAAAATGCCTTCTAACTACCAAGCAACAATAGTAATAATAATAATAATAATAATCATAATAGTTATTCTTATTATTAGTAGTAGTAGTACAGTATTGTCATTGTTTGGTGTCAGAGGGTAACAACATTATTTTCCAGTCATTCTTATTCACTTATTCATATCCCTGTCTACTAATGTGGCTTAATAACTGCATTATGTACACTTCTCTATGACAAAAGTGCCACTTAAAAATAACACTGCTATTTTAATTACCGGTACTATAGTGTTTAAGTTATTGGTAGAAAAGAATACTCTCAAGTCTCTATAGTGAGTTGACAACTTCCTACCTTCTGCTGGATGTGCAGACACATAATAGGTGGCCCCAATGCTTTTTCCTCCGTTTTTTATGTTTGTATGTAAACATCTTACTTTCGACGAATATAAGGCTTTTATTAGAAACTTTTATTTTAAGTTACATACACCAGGTGATCGGCTTCCTCAAAATTAAAATACCAAAAAAAAAAAACCCAACAATATCAATAAAAAATAATAGCATAAAAGCACCCAATGCTCAATATATCCTATATCAATGAATAAATCAATCTTTATTTCAATTATTTAAATCTCTCTCTCTCTCTCTCTCTCTCTCTCTCTCCATTATACACTGTAATTTGAAATATTATCAGTAAGCATTTGAGGGTATTTTTGTCTCGGAAAAATTTTCAAATGTCCTGGCTCTTAATAGACACAAGCCACGGCCACGGCCACTGACTCTATGTCAAGCCAATTGCAACGGTTCCGCGTCGACTTTGTTGTCTGCCGTCTGCTCCTGCGGTCGACAGTAATTCCGCTGCCGTCAGCGCTAGGGCGGTTTTTCTACCGTCAACATGTAAATGCACACGACTCCTTCCCCCTCTTTTTTTCTGCCACTGAGAGCCTTCTTTTTTGCCTCTCCATCTTTAGCTCCCTGTCATTAGAGGTCTCAAATGGAAACCTGCGCGCTCCAGCACGTGCTCAAGGGGCCGTGTACTGGAGGGCCTCTGAATATGAGTGAGGGGACGAGTGAGAGGAGAGGAGGTGACGGTCCTGGAGCAGAGGGGCGCCCAATCAGTGACGTGCCTTGGCTGTTGATCATATTATTACGTGTTAACAAACAGTTTTTAAATACATAAAATTCCATTTTCAAATCATTTTCCTCCCATCGCTTTGGCACCCTTTCTGGCCCTTATGCGCACATTTAGTGCATACCCCCTCTTTGCACCTCTGCACCTGACAATTTGGTGACATCAACTAGAAAGTGACATAAAGTAGAAGTTTAAGTATTAGGACCTTTAGACGAGGTAAAAGCAGGTCTAAGTTGTGGCGTGGGTGGGGAACAGGATTTGGGTGAATTTGATCCATCGTTGTCGGTGACAGCCAATTGGCATCAAGAACATATTTACTACATGACATGCAGGCACAGCACAAGCAGACTTGAGTTAAAAAAAATTAAAACAAAAAACAATCCCTTTTGGTTTCACATACCGCAATGACATTGTCCCATACTATATGTGTGTGTGTGTGTGTGTGTGTTTGTGTGTGTGTGTGTGTGTGTGTGCGCGGTAGTTTTTATACCCCCTCTTTGCACCTCTGCACCTGACAATTTGGTGACATCAACTAGAAAGTGACATAAAGTAGAAGTTTAAGTATTAGGACCTTTAGACGAGGTAAAAGCAGGTCTAAGTTGTGGCGTGGGTGGGGAACAGGATTTGGGTGAATTTGATCCATCGTTGTCGGTGACAGCCAATTGGCATCAAGAACATATTTACTACATGACATGCAGGCACAGCACAAGCAGACTTGAGTTAAAAAAAATTAAAACAAAAAACAATCCCTTTTGGTTTCACATACCGCAATGACATTGTCCCATACTA